CAAAAGTTGTAGTTGATGAGTTTTATGACATTAGCCTTAGTCTACTCTATTGCTTTCTTTGCGTACATGCTTGCTTTGGTCCACATTACTTTCGAGTGCCCGTTCACGACCATTATATATGATCCACATTGTGCTTACTTTCTAATTGGGCTAGGGGTTTTTATTATAAAAATCAAGGGCTTGGTGTCGTTGCCCCCCGCCCAAAAAAAAAAAAAAAAAAAAAAGACAGAAACCATCAAACCATATACAAGAAACAATATTGTCCTATGCCCATAATTACTTTTAATTATTAATAATAATTAATTTATTTTTTCATAAAAAGAAAATATAGGTATATGTTATTCCATATTTTTTAATAAAAAATATTATATTCATATAACGCGAGTCTCCACCACGTCTATATCAAAACTAAAACTTAAATATTAATAGTTAATTACATATATAGTGAAGTTCCCATTTGGAAGCATGCTTAGCATAAGCCCAGACGCATGTAACTTTTTTTTTTTTTTGGCCCCCTCACTATCATCAGAAAAAGAAATCCCACTAAATTTACTTGAGTCATTATTGATTGCAATGCATAGTGGGTTTTTCGAGCGAAAATTTGAAGACGGATGATGAACGATGAGAAGTATTTGCGAAATCGTTTTTTTTTATTATTCTTATTTTATATCGAAGACAGAACTAATTTTATTTAGTTGACTGATTACCATCTCTTCCTTTATTTCTAAATCAGATCCAAGGGCAAGAAATGCTTTGGTTAGAGAAATACAGAATAAAATATCTTCCCGGCCATCTGAACCAGGTTACAAGAAGCATGGGTATAGAACTTTAAAAGCTCCTTGATGACTTGAAATAGTAAACATGGCTTTTGACAAGTAACTAGAGATAATATATAGAACCCTCGCCTTTTTTTTTCTCTTCCTTTTTCTTAACAACTAGATTAAACCTGAAGAAAAATAATCTTATTTTGAAAAGCGATGAACCAGAATATCGTCGTTGTTCAAGTCGAAGACATCTGTTAATCCTTTGGGCCACATAGAATCCAAATTTGAGCGTGAAACACATATTGATATATATAAGATAAACATAAAATTATCATGAATTAATCTCCGGTTGCTGATAACTACAAATCCTACTGCTTTTCCAGCATGTGAAATGGTCATATCTTTCGTACAGCTATAAAGCAACTTGCGATACTCTAAATGACATTGCAGGAAAGCACCAGTGGAAGATAATCATGCATGGATGATAGACCAAGCTAGAAAGAAAAGATGCAAATTATCGTACATGATTTAAGTCAAAGTTTGACACCTGCCAATTAGTTTATTATTCTAAATGAAGAATATCCACTAAATGACAAAAGCCTTCTGACTGATATACATACATAGACACACCCACACACACCTTAAATTCAACCTGTTAGTGTCAATCTTTTTCCTGTTGTGAGAATAACTGGTCCTTGACTAGCTAGTTGGGTGGATTATACTCCTGAAATTATATTGATCAACGCACTCATCCCACGCTAAAATTTCAATGTAAAATTCCAACTGCCATAACTACCAAAAAGCAACAACGTTCGTGACCTTCAGAAAATATTCCTTCTTCCAAATATCAAAAAATCGTATCCCTCAAAACTGATCTTCGTATCATCATCATCCATATCCTTTTTGACAAAGATATGTGTAGAATGGCCCTACAGAGAATAATTTATCAGATTTTCATCCCACAAAGGTGCTTAATATTCTGTCCGTTCAGAAAAAATGCGGCGTATCTCGTTTCTACTTGACCACACTAGCACTGTATGCTATCACCATCATCAAAACCATTCTCGTTCCAATAGATATGCGCTGGTACGTAAAATCATGCAGTCCAATTATTAGCATGACTAGTAGCTTTCTTCTATGCAGTAAATGTGAAAAAACAATTAATGAAATCCTCAGTTGCCAGGAAAAGCCAAACCAGAATGATTCAAATTGCTTCAAACAAGAATTTTTTTTTTTTTTCCAAAGAAGCACGGGTTGCTTCCGGTCTATGCTGGCCCATCACAAGTAAATTCTTGCCCAGGGCATTATTCTGAGACCTTCTCCTGATCCGGCCGCCTTTTCTTTGGTCCAATCTGACTCGTCCAGGTCATAGGTTTGCATGCAATAAAAATCAATGCCCAATGATACTCAAATAGCACATTTTTGAATTTGAATATTAATCCTGAACCTAGTTTTCCTCGAACAAAAATTTCAAATTTGACGGCAATCTTATGCTATTACCACATCCAAATACCATGAAAAGTCACTAACAGACAACAAATATGATTCAAAATTTCAATCGTAGAAATGCTTAAGACTGTTATGAGTCGGTCCCAACATATTCAAGCAAATGGCGCAGCCCAGCTATATCGCGTGTATATTTTTTAAACAGCTTAGCCACAAGTAGTAGCAATTAGTAAAATCACCCAATGAACTTTTCATGAAATTTTGTTCGAGTAAATTATAAATTATAAATTATATATTAATTTGAGAAATATTGATTACATTTAATACGATGCTATTTTCTTTTCTCATCCATCCTTCTATAATATCTATTTATTTATTTTATTTTAAAACAATAAAATAAAATAAATAAATTAGAAATAAATATAAAATGAATAAAAATATTAAATAATTAGTTTTTTTAAACAGATGAGATTGATTAATTCTTTTCTCAAATTAAAAGGACTAATTTATAATTTACTCAATTTCTTTCAGAAAAAAATCAGAAAGAAGATGCGTGGATTGGCATTGTGATCCCAATTCAGTGCACTCTACGTGCTAAAGGTTAGTAATATGTGGCTACGTGCTCAGTCCTCTTCCAAAAAGTCCAAATGCCATTATTATAAAACAAAATACACAACTACTCTTTCAAATACTATGCACATACTGACATTTCACTATTTACATATTCATAAATTATTATTTTTTCATTATTCATGGCTTTTTTTAACACTTTAGTCATCAATTTTTTTATACTTTTTTTTTAAATTTCAAACTTAATTGTATTGTAATTTATTCCTATTCTGTTTTAGTATTTTTTTTAATTATTTTTATTATTTAAAATTTAATATTTTAATTTGTCATATTTTTTAAAAATTTTAATCCAATTAAAATAAAATTGTATGGTCCTCAAATTTTCTATATATATTTTTTTTAATTTCAAACTTTAATTGTATTATGATTTGGTCATATTTTGTTTGTGTTTTTTGTTGATTATTTTTATTATTTAAAATCTATAAATATAATTTTTTATTTTTTTCAAATTCGCATCCAATTAATTAAAATTACATTTAATGACAACTTTGATTTATTTTACTATTATTCATTCTTTTGTAAATAAATATATAAAAATTAAATTCATATTTTTTTCAAAAATCGATATTCTCATCAATATTAAATAAAAATAAAAAATTATTTATTTAATTCTATGTGAGCTTTTAATAAATTTTTTAATTTTTTGCGACACAATCTTATGAAATATTAAAGCTTTATGAAAAAATTTATTTAATTTTCTTTAATTTGTCTTTTTTTTTAAATTCTCATCTAATTAATTTAAAACTATATTTATCGATGAGTTTTGGTTTATTTTAATATTATTCATTCTTTTGTAAATAAATATATATAAATTAAATTCATATTTTTTTCAAAAATCGATATTCTCATCAACATGAAACAAAAACAAAAAAAAATATTTGATCAATTTTATGTAAGCTTTTAGTAATTGTTATTGTTTTTTTTTTTTGACATAATCTTATGAAATACTAAAGCTTTATAAAAAAAATTATTTAATTTTTTTAATTAATAATCCATGAATTAACAAGAATAAATCATTTTTGTAAAGAAAAAATTATGAAAAACACAAATAAGAAATATTTAAATATAAAATTTTTTATTAAAAAAATATAAATATTTTTTTTATCTTTTATTTCATATATTTTTATAGATTCACAAGCATAAAACAGATTATCAAACTAGAATGATTTTTCTAAATGATTTTATATATTTTATCCAATTTGCAGCGTAACATAGTCAAAAAAATCTAGTAATAAAACTAAAGTAAAACTATTGGTTTTACTATTCATTAACTATTTGAAATACTATTCACCTAAACTTATTTCATTATTTACACACACTTAAAAGCATTATTCCTTTCACTACGCAGTGGCATTTTTATAGTTTCTAAATATTTTTAATGCATTTATAACATAAGTTTTCCTAAAATCGCACTTTGATCCCTCGTTTTTAAATATAGTTTTTTCGATCCGCAAAATATTTTTTATTTGGTTTCGATTTCTCTTTTTTGTTTTATTTTGGTTACTTTGGTCATTTTTTTCTCTGATTTTTTTTAATAAAAAAATTTAAGACAAAAAAATGTTTAAAAAACATTACAAAACAAATTTTTAACTAAAAATCCATTGATTTTAACATTCTTTATACTATTAAATAATTTTTTTAATAAAAAATTTATGAAAAATATAAAAAATAATCAGTTAAATACAAAATTTAATATATTTTAATAGATGTATAATATAATATGAGATATTAAAATTAAATAATTTTATATATTTTATCCAATCCGTAACATAACATGTGTAAAAAATCTAATTCTATCTAAATAGCATTGTCCACTAGTTCGCGTAGCCGGCTCAGTCACCTTAAGGAAATCCAAGGCCCATCATACCCAACTCAGATATAACATCATATATTAGGCATGCGAACGGGTACATGAGAGCAAAGCATGCTATACAGAAATGTGATCTAACAAGAACATGCCCTTTTACATGCAATTCTATCCAGTCCTGAACCCTAATAGAAGCCTCTACTCCAGTAAGTCACAATTTGATTGCAAGAGCCATTGAAAGCTAGGGCAAGAACATTTTTCCATCTTGCAGATCAGTGATGCAAAAATATGACATTCGTTGCTCTCATTTGTCATTGAAGAACTGAATCATTCAAATGTGAGGAACAAGGAGTTTAACTTCCACAAGCCATGCACCCGTCCTGATCCTGCAATGAACATACAAACCGTGCGATATCAGCATTAACATCATCCTCTGCCTTGTTAGCATTTCCCTGTGCCATGACAAAATAAAAATTCTGTCAATAATATAAGAATATTTGATTTTACGGAGAATCCCATATATTTTGGAAAAACTGCGAATCCTTTTGTCTCAAATGGAAAGATTTTTAAAAATATGCATAAAAATGAAGAGCCAATAGTAAAACCATTGTTTGATTTTCTACTCACTTTCCATGCTTGCTTTAGTGTCCATCTCAAAAATAGATTTTATACCTTCAAAACTATGAAATAAAAGTTGAAACAAAGATTTACAGAACACTTGAACATGATCTAATGAGATGATGAAGAGAAATTCAAATACATTGTTGAGAACAGTTGTGTCAACTGTGAATTTGATAGCATCTGCAGCAGCACGTGTTCTCAGATAGTACATCCCTGTTTTCAGGCCCTATACAAAAAACACGACAAAACCAATAATAAACATATCAATGGATACCCAAAACACGCTTTGAACAATGAACATGTCCTGTCGACAAGCCATGGAATAGGCTACATGCTAACTTTTTTCCAGTGACATAGGTTATGGCTATGCTGCCTTGATAGCAACATGTAGTGCAAAGTTGAGCAGAAGCTGTGCAAATTAAGCATCATACCTTTGACCAAGCATGGAAATGTAGGGAAGTTAGTTTCCCAAGATCAGGCTGTTCCATGTGAATACTCAGACTCTGACTTTGGTCTATGTAGCATCCACGATCAGCAGCCATGTCAACCAATGTTTTTTGCTTGATTTCCCACACTGTCTTGATATCACATAGTAATTCTGCCTTTTAGCATGAAGAGATACAAATGTGCTACAAAATATAAGATACACACAAGATGAAGAAATCCGTACTTATAGATAGATTTCAGCTGCTCAGAAATCTCGGGGATATTTGAAACCGAGCCATTTTCATATATTATCTTGTTTTTAAGAGCTGGTGACCACAGACCTATCTCTGTTAAATCATGAAGTAGGTGTTTGTTCACCACAACAAATTCACCGCTGAAAATGAAGAAGTTAGATGGCAGATGGAAGAAGATCCACACTTCACAGAAACCAGCCTGATAAAGTAAAACAAACCTTAAAACTCTGCGGCTATAGATGTTGGATGTATAAGGCTCAAAACATTCATTGTTGCCAAGAATCTGACTTGTTGAAGCAGTGGGCATGGGTGCTATTAGAAGGGAATTTCTTACACCACTTTTGGAGATCATTTCCCTAAGAGCATCCCAATCCCACCTATCTGATGGTGTCACACCCCACATGTCCATCTGAAAAATTCCCTGAGAGAGAAATATTGCTCAAGTTAGAGTCGTTTTTGTGGAAGAAAAATGAACAAAAATTACACCCTTCTCTCTGTATTTCTCAAGCATTAACTATATAATAATAAGACTACTTTCTAGATCAAGGCCAACACAGCATCCCTTTCAGAACATCTCTCGAGTTCTTCTGAAAATTAAATCCAACATTTACACCATCATATAAAGCCAAGGCATGCACCAAAGAAACAGAGTAGCAGAGGTCATCTAGTTACAAAATCAGAAACCAAGGCACGCCATCTTAAACGTCTTCGGAATACATACAGTAAAACTGATAAAATCAGAGATCCTCACCTTGCTCACAGGGCTTCCACAATATGTTTCATAAGGGCCATCATTAGCTGCCAACTCAGAAGAAGATCTCAGTGCATGGTAGTATATGGTCTCAAATATGTCTTTGTTTAGCTTTTTTGCCTGCAACAAACAAGCAAAAATTCAGTGAGGATGAACAATTTAAATGAAACCGTATCATATTTGAGAGAAGCAAAGTAAAACCTCCAGGGAATCAAATGGCATGCCAAGCAAGATGAAGGTATCAGCAAGACCCTGAACACCAATACCAATTGGTCTGTGTCTTAAATTTGACCTCTTTGCAGTTTCAACGGGGTAGTAATTCACATCTATGATTTTATTAAGATTTTCAGTGACTGTCGCTGTAACCTAAGATAGCATCAAAAGTGTAAAAGAAATCAAAGTCTCCCAGATACAATAATTCAGATTTCTTAAAAGATAAAAAGATACAGTTCTATCTTAAATATATCTCGTGTAAATGAGTTTCTATAAACACATGCATCAACTTGCTCGCCACTCTGCACAAGAAGTTAAATTTAGAGGTCTGTAACATTCTAACTAAAACAAACCTCTGCTAGTTTTTCAAAATCAAAGTATCTGTTGTTTGATTCTCTACTTCCAACCATCTTGGAAGACTCTGATTCAGCAGGTACCCCCTACAACAAGAAGTAAAGATTATTGAGCAACATACTAATGAAGTTAAGGAAGATCTGGCAGACGAGACAATGAATGCAACACTCAATTTCAGTGTCCCACCCTTTCCATGACAAATCGTGTAAGAGCAATGGATGCCAGATTGCAAACTGCTGTTTCTGTCGGACTTGCAAACTCAATAATCTCAGTACAGAGGTTTGAAGACTTGATAGTGCCCAGATTCTGCTGGTTGCTTTTCCTGTTGCAAGAATCCTGGGAAAATGAAAGGTGCATTAAGAAAACACACAAAACAAGTAGAAAAATAAAATGCTTATAGCTGCAGTAACTGATGTAAAATACCTTGAAGAGCATGTAAGGAGTTCCTGTTTCAATCTGGGAACTTAAAATCTCAAACCAGAGTTTCCGAGCGGAAATAACCTTCTTTGGCCTATCCTGTATCCACAAAACACATGGGTGACTGTTAGTCGCAGCACAGACAAACTTCAACATTTTGATCCAAACAATCATCACTGAAGTAGCAAGTTTTCTACCTCACCCTCATACTGAGTATAAAGTTTTTCAAATTCCTGTCCCCAACAATCAGCCAAACCAGGAGCCTCATTAGGGCAAAACAAAGACCATTTGCCATCACCTCGGACTCTTTCCATGAAAAGATCAGGAATCCAAAGAGCATAGAATAAGTCTCGAGCTCGATGTTCTTCCTGCAGAAGGGATCAACATGTAAAAGCACAAGATAGAATCAAAAAAAAAAAAAAGAGAAGGGAAATTCAAGGATCTGATTTAAAAAGAAAAGGGATCTTTTTTCATATGGAACTAACCAATACATAGTCGAACTTAGATTAAGGTCAATGCTCTAGATTTAAGGGCAACGATATTTAAGCCAATTGGTAATGAACATACCTTTCCATGGTTTTTCCTGAGATCTAGAAACTCAAAGATATCCGCATGCCATGGCTCCAGATATATAGCAAAAGCACCTAAACAAAACAAAACAAGATTGGCCATGAAAAAAACAAAAGACAACCAAATAAACCACATTGCATAAACAAAAAATGTCTTATCTATCCATAAAAAACTTGCACTGAAAGGCATTAAAAAATATAAGTAACAGAATTGAGCTCGTACCTTTCCTCTTCCCTCCTCCTTGATCAACATAACGAGCAGTGTTGTTGAACACTCGAAGCATGGGAACAATGCCATTGGAAGCACCATTTGTCCCCTGAATGTAACTGCTAGTGGCACGGATATTATGAACAGAAATACCAATTCCTCCAGCTAATTTGCTAATAACAGCACACTCCTTCAAAGTATCAAATATGCCCTCCATGCTATCATCTTTCATGCACAGGAGAAAGCAGCTGCTCAACTGCCATATCAACCAACCCCCAACCGCAAATAATAATTAAAAAAAAGGAGGAATAAAAGCATATGAGTGATTGTCATGTAGATTAGCATCGTTGTTTAGATAACGGAGAACGCTTATACTATACAAACATACTTGAGGCTGGGGAGTTCCTGCATTGAAAAGTGTCGGGGTAGCATGAGTAAACCAACGTTGAGCCATTAAGTGATAAGTTTTGGTGGCAGATTCAATGTCATCTTTGTGGATACCAACAGCAACTCTCATCAGCAGGTGCTGCGGTCTTTCTACAATCTTTCCATCAACCTTCAAAAGGTAAGACCTCTCAAGAGTTTTGAAGCCAAAATAATCATAGTCAAAATCTCTGTCATAGAGGATCTCACTGTCCAACCGTGCAGCATTCTGATACCATAATGGCATTGATTACTATATATATATATATTCGTCAAGCATCAAGTAGTTAAAAAAAGAAAAAACAATTAACAATATTGAATACCAAAGCTGGGAACTTAGTCAAAAATTAATAGCCGTTAAGAAAAATTGGTTAGCTTTGCAGTTCTAGACACTTCCGTTAATACGCTTGCAGCTTGAAAACCATAAAAAAATTAACATGAGTTTACCTTCATGATTATTTGATAGACATCATCCGCGATGAGAGGAGCCTTCTGCCCAGACCTCTTATTATAATTATTATACATTAATTTGATCCTGCATTACCACCCTTTAAAACAATTTCTTGCAAAGGCAGAATACAACTAAATCAAATCAAAAACCTCAGGAAACCAAATACTCACGTCTCTGAAAAGGATTTTTTTGTATTCTTATGCAGATTCGAAACTGAAATTCTCGCAGCCAACTGCACCACGTTATCGAACAAAAAACAATCAAATCAAGCCAAACACATCAAAAAACAACTTACCAAACTGACTTCAAACAACAGAATCACCGCATAAAAAACTGTCCCACCCCAACCAATAGAAACTCAAATGAATACATCCCAAACGGCCACCAAAAAACACCAGTAGCACTAAAACACAAGCTTGGCAACAAATTTAACACGAGCACACACAGGATCACCACAAAAATCCGAATTATCAAAAACTCAAATAGCAACACATCATAAAATCACTAACCAAAGCATAATCAGGGTGATTAGCAGTCATAGAAGCCGCAGTTTCAGCGGCTAACTCATCAAGCTGGGTACTAGTGACACCTTTATAGACCCCTGCACAAACTTTCTGGGCAACAAGCACGGGATCACAGTGATCCTTACTTAACCCATAACTCAATTTCTTCAATCGAGCAGTTATCTTATCAAAACGAACCGGTTCTTGGCGCCCATCTCGCTTGATCACGTACATGGTTAATGGAAATATTTAAATTGGAGAATTTAAAAGGAAGTGAGTGAGTGAGGAATACTGTCGAATAAGTGATGGGGATTGTATGTGTGATCTGAGATGAGATTTTTTTATAGAGAGAGAAGGTGTAGAGAGGAAGGAGAGTGCGCGAGAAGCTAGAGAGAAGTTCCAGTGATTTGAATTTAAAAATCTTTGTCCTTTTTTGGTTTTCTATTTTTTTTATTTTTTATTTTTTATGAGTGTGATTTTGAGGGAATAATTCAAGTTTCCCGCCATGAGCGTACTGCGGGGTTTGTATCAGGGTAATGCCTATTAGGTTTCGTTTTTTGCTTTTTCAGCCAATTAAATGGAATGGGTTGTATCAAAAACATTTCTTAATCAAGCTTTTAATTAAATTTCACAGTATGAGAGTAAAATGCTTGCTAGTATTTTAATTTCACCACCCTCATAAAAGATTTGTTGGGTTTAAAATGGTGATTTTATATAGTATTAGGTTCTGTTGAAATATGAAAATTTAGCATATCTTAGATTTTATAGTAATATACATTTATTTATAATAGTAATTTATATTACTATATATATTTTTGTTTATAAAATTCAAAAAAAAAATTATTATATTGTTTTATTTATTATAATAAATTATTTTGAAATTGGTCTTGAGATTTTTTCTTTCTTTTACAATAGAAAGGGTTTTTATGTAAATTAATTTGACATTTTTGTGATTGCTTTTTTATAATTTATTTATTTTGTACGCTTTATTATTGTTTGTGTGTTGATTTGATAATTATTTGTTCACAAAATTTAAATTACACAAAATAATATTAAATTTCCAACAATGTGAGATGCAATTTATACCATAAATATTTATAAACAAGAATTTGCAAAAGTAAATAAGAATCTATTTATAACAATGATTCCACGTTTGATCTTGCATTTTTTTTAATATAAAAATAAAATATATTAAGTTCAAAAAATATGAAATTATAATAAAAGTTCAAAGAAAATAAATTTTCTGCTTGCATTACTCTAACAATCAAATAAATTCTATCAACAACTAGAAAACTATTGTTTAATGGCATATTAGCTTATGTGTTTGTTTTTCTTACATTAAATTTCAAATTATAATATATATTGCATCGAATCAATTAGCAATTTTCACACATGTGTCAGTTTACTTTGCCCTATCGAATTTGATATCCCCACTCGCCATTACATATAGATTACAATAAGGCCAACGAGATCCAAACCAAGGTTAATTACTTCGACTATCCTACAAGCAAGGAAAATTATATAATAAATATATTAATTTTGAACCTTTTTTCAATCAATTTTTAATTTTTTTGGTTTTAGTATTTTAATTTTTTTCAAAAATATCAATCAAGTTTTTCCGTCTAGTGATGATGTAGCAGCTTAAAAAAAATAAGTCTAAATGATTGTATTGTCTTTTTTTCTCCTCTTAAATTGTTATTATTATTTAATTATTAATTTTTTAAAAAAAAGAAGCAAAATGGCTTAATTAAAAAAAGGCAGCAAAGCATTGTTTGTTTGATTTTGATAGCAACACTCGCAAAAGCAATTATGAGAAACTAGTCATTGGTCTTATTATTTTATTTTTTATATAATATTTAGAAATATTATCTTATAATAATTTCTTTTCATTTCGCATGTATGAAATGAGCATAAAAAAAAACTAGTTCTTTTTCATTTATTTATTTATCATTGTTGATCTTAGATTGTCCTAATCAAAAAAAGAGCAAATCATAATTTTGATACTGAAAATTTATCAAAACTTCTAAGTATTATTGATAATATGCTTTTCAATTAAGAGTATTTAAATAATTATCACATGTCTTTAGTATTTGGAATAGATGTAAGACAACTCAAATATAAAATATTTAAGCATATAAATTGAAATAATTTTCTCCACGAAGTATAAATATTGATTATCCGTGTTTATCTTTAAGAACTTTTACTTACTCCTAATTTGACATGAGAAATTGTCAAGCATTGTTTTTGCTTGCCTCCAAGAGTTTATTCGAATCCGCATAGTAAAAATCTATGTCATAAAGGATTTCAAACCATGCAGCATTCTAATACCATAAAGGTATTGATTACCACACACACACACACACACATATTCGTTAAAAAAAATTGGTTAGTTTTACGATCATAGACACTCTTGTTAATAAGCTTACGGCTTGAAAACCATAAAACAAAATTAACATGAGTTTACCTTCATGATTATTTCATGGACATTATCCGCGATGAGAGGAGCCTTCTACCCAATCCACTTATTAGAATTATTATACATTAACTTAGTCCTGCATTACCGCCCCTTAAAAAATTTATTGCAAAGACGGAATACGACTAAATCAAATCAAAAACCTCGGAAACTGAATACTCACATCTCCGAAAAGAAATTTTTTGTATTCTTATACGGATTCAAAACTAAAATTCTCACGACCAACTACTCCATGTCATCGAACAAAACACAATCAAATCAATCCAAACACATAAAAAACAATCAAATCAAGCCAAACACATAAAAAAAATACCAAACTAAATTCGAACAACATAAATCACTATATAAAAAATTATCCCACCGCAACCAATCGAAACTCAAATGAATACATTCCAAAAAGTCACCAAAAAACACCGGTAGCACTAAAACACAAGCTTGACGACAAATTTAACACGAGCACAACACACAAGATTACTACAAAAATTCGAATTAACAAAAACTCAAATAGCAACACATCATAAAATCCCTAACCAAAGCATAATCAAGGTGATTAGCAACCATAAAAGCTGCAGTCTCGGCGACTAATTCACCAAGTCTGGGTAGTGGTTACACCTTTATAGACCCCGAGCATAGACTTTTTGGGCAATAAGCACTCGGATCACAATGATCTTTACTTAACCCATAAATCAATTTCTTTAATCGAGCGAGTTATCTTATCAAAACAAATCGATTCTCAATGCTCATCTTGCTTAATCACATACATGATTAATAGAAATATTTTAATTGGAGAATTTAAAAGGAAGTGAGTGAGTGACGAATTTTGTCAAACAAGTGATGGGGATTATATGTGTGATTTGAGATGAGATTTTATTTATAGAGATATGTTATAGAGAGGAAGGAGAGTGAAAGAAGCTATAGGGTAGTTCCAAGGATTTGAATTTGAAAATCTTTGTCCATTTATGGGGTTTTATTTTTATTTTTATGAGTGTGATTTTGGGGGAATAATTCAAGTTTCCCATCGGGAGTGTAGTATGAGATTTGTGTCACGGTAATACCTATTATGTTTTGTTTTTGCTTTTCCAGCCAATTAATTAGAATGGGTTGCATCAAAAACATTTCTTAATCAAGCTTTTTTGTAGTACAAGAGTAAAATTCTTATTAATATTTTAGTTTCACCACCTTTATAAAGATTTATTGTGTTAAAATGGTGATTTCATATAGTATTAGGTTCTTTTGAAATATAAAAAGTAATCATATCTTAGATTTTTCATAGTAATATAGATGTATTTATAATAGTAATTTGTATTACTATCTATACTTTTGTTTGTCAAATTAAAAAAATAGTTATGATATTGTTTTATTTATCATAAAAAATTATTTTGAAATTGGTCTTGAGATTTTTTTTTCTTTTACAATATAGAGGGTCTTTTATGTAAATTAATTTGATATTTTTATGATTGTTTTCTTATAATATATCTATTTTGCGTGCTTTATTATTATTTGTGTATTGATTTGATAATTATTTTTTCACAAAATTTAAATTAGATAAAATAATATTAAATTTCCAACAATGTGAGATGCGATTTATACCATAAATATTTATAAACAAGAGTTCGTAAAAGTAAATAAGAATCTATTTATAATTATGGTTCGACATTAGGTCTTGCATATAAATTTATCTATTTTTGGAGAAAATATTTGTTTTTAAATACTCGCTTGCATTTCTCGAATAATCAAATAAATTCTATTAGCAACTAGAAAACTATTGTTTAATGGCATATTAGTTTATGTATTTGTTTTTCTTACGTTAAATTTTAAATCATAATAAATATTGCATTGAATCAATTCGTAATATCCACACATGTGTACGTTTACTTTTCCCTTCGAATTTGATATCTCGACTCTACCACTCGCATACACATTACGAGTACGGCCAACGGATCCATCCCAAGGTAAGTTACGTCGAGTATCCTACAAGCGGGGAAAATTGTATAGTAAATATATTAATTTTAAACCTTTTTTAATCAATTTTTACTCTTTTTTTTGTCTCGATATATCAACTTTTTGAAAATACCAATCAAGTTTTCTCGTTTAGTGATGATTTAGCAGTTCACGAGATAAGAATAAATGATTGTGTGGTCTTTTTTTTCCTCCTATTAAATTGTTATTATTGTTTAATTATCAATTAAAAAGGAAAGAAAGCAAAGCATTTTAATTGAAAAAAAAAAGATAGCAAAGCATTATTTGCTTGATTTTGATAGCAACTCTGTAAAAGCAATTGCGAGAAACTAGTCATTGGTCTTGTTATTTCATTTTTTTTTTTGGCAATCTTTAGAAATATTATCTTATAATAATTAGTTTTCATTTTGCATGTATGAAATGAGCACAAAAAAAAAAAAAAAAAACTAGTTCCTTTTCATTTGTTCATTTATTTATCATTATTGTTCTTAGGTTGTCCTAATCGAAAAAAGAGCAAATCATAATTTTTATACTAAAAATTCATCAAAATTTCTAAGTATTCTTGATAATATGTTTTTCAATTAAGAATATTTAAACAATCATCATTTGTCTTTAGTATTTGGAATATATTTAAGAAAACTTAAATATAAAATATTTGATTATATAAATTGAAATATTTTTTTTCATGGAGTATAAATATCATTTATTTGTGTTTATCTTATTAAGGAACTTTTTCTTACTCCTAATTTGATATGGAAAATTATCAAACATGGTTTTTTCGCCTCCAAGAGTTTTTGCGAAT